TGGGTCTCTCTCCTCCTTTATGGGCATGAGATGCCTCGTCAACATAATGCTCCCAAACGAGGCAATTTTATCTGCTAACCCTCCAGCTCTATGAGCACAATTTAATTTAGGCACCAGAGGAATTAATATAGAGGATAAGGCATCATGAATATGCTTTCATAAATGATAGCGTTCTGACAGATTCAAGATCTATGAGAAATAAAAACAAATTGTAAAAAAGTTTGGGCACAAGGGCTACACTAACAGAGTTGCCACTGATTTCTGCGCTACAGCTTGTTGAAGAGATGAGGCCAGAGTAGCTTTCACAGTCAGCCCATGGCTGCCCTTAAGGCCATTCATTTCACTCTAGTCTGAGAACACAGAATACAGCACCAAAACAAGATTCTGCTTTCTTCTAAAGGACCTTACAGCAGCCACGCTCAAGTATTGCACATGATGCAATACTACCAACTTGCAAGCACCCAGTAAATTCTTCACTCTGTCATGAATTCCAAGTGATTATATTCCAAGAAAAAGCAGAGCAATAAACAGCAAGGCACAGTGGGTTAGTAAGTCCCACCATGACACTGGCATCCCACAAGGATGCCAGTTCGAGTCCCGGCTGCTCTACTTGTGTGATCCAGCTCCCTGCTAATGTACCTGGAGAAATAGTGAAAGACAGCTCAAGTACCTGGACTTCTGTCATTCATGTGGAAGACATGACTAGAGTTCTAGGTTCCTGGTTTTGACCTGTCCCAGCCTTAGTCATTGCAGCTGTGAGGGGAGAGAACTAGTGGATGGAAGACTTATCTGTAACTCTGCCTTTCAAATAAGATGCATCAATCCTTTTTTTAAAAAAGATTCAACAGATAAGCCTCTGCTAACTTACTCAATTTCTTTAGGAAACTAAGGCTATGGGCTAGAACAGTGGCTCAACAGGTTAATCCTCTCCCTGCAAGTTCTGGCCTCCTATATGGGCGCTGGTTCATGTCCTGGCTGCACCAGTTTCAATCCAGCTTCCTCTTTATGGCCTGGAAAAGCAGGAGAGAATGGCCCAAGTCCTTGGAATCATGCATTCATACAGGAGACCTGGAAGTAGCTCTGGCCGTATGGAGGGCAAACCAGCAGATGAAAGATCTTTCTCTGTCTCTCTGTGAATCTGCCTTTCCAATAAAAAAGTTTTACAGAGCAATAAAAATACATAAATCTTAAAAAAAGAAAATTATGTTAACCAAGCTATGTTAGTAAGTACGAGTCTGCTGAAATCTGTGTGCATACTGTAATGTTAGGAATGGCACTGGTGCTCAATAACCACCTGTGAGGAATACATGCTGCCTGGCCAGCGAGAGCACCAGAGGATTTCTGATTCCTGCTCACACAGCTGTGGAACTCACGAAACACTGATGTGGTCCACAGATGGTGCAGGATGCTCTCCAACCACACAAATCTACACCTCTGGAATACCAGTACAGGCTGGGGAAACTCAGACCTGACTGAGCTTCAACCTGAACACCTGTACTTCACTGTCTCCTTTTGTCCTGTTTAATCAGTAACAGACAATAGCCAACTCCAGTTCTGAAACAGGTACAAAGGAAGACAATCCACTCTGAATGCCTGAAACCTTTCCTGGAACCCTAGGTAGACAGGCCAGCAGAAGAGATAAACCCCTGTGTGCACACAGCTCCAGGCAAACTCCTCTGTCGATGTCCTCACCAGCCTAAAGTACTGTGCTGGGACATATGCTACCAGGCTGATGCCAGACAGCCAAAACATGGCACCCGCAAGCTAAGTGACTCAGAGCCTTGTACATGGGATGGGTTGGGAAATTATGACATCATTTTACAGCACAGCAGGATGGTACTAAAATCTCAGAGCCACCCGTGACATGGCTTAATTCATACTGAAATGGGGCACACAATTACATGGCTTTAAAATACAAGGCTTATATATCCAAAACACCTGTTTTACAACAAACCAACATGCATCCCTATGTTCATTGCAGCACAATCAGTAATTGCAAAAACATGGAAGCAACCGAAATGCCCATCAGCAGAAGATTGGATAAGAAAGCTTTGGTTCATCTACTCCATGGAATACTACTCAGCTATTAAAAAAAACAAAATGCAGTTCTTTGTGGCTAAATGGGCACAACTGGAAACTATAATGCTAAGGGAAATGAGTGAATCCCAAAAGATTAGATACCACATGTTTGCCTTGATTTAACCTGTAATTTTTTGTTTGGTTGTTTGTTATTTTTTGAACCTGTCATTGATACTGTCTCAACCCAGATGTTTCAAAGAATGGAACTTGCATTATTTTTAACATATTGTTTACCCAATACTATGTCAATTAATTCCATAATGTTGTATAATGATACTGAGGCCTTGTTGGGGCTTTTAACTGACCGGATCTTTACTCTGTTAGACCTATCTTCAGACCATAGAAGGTCTCCCCAAGAGGCCACTGAACTTATCTGGACAATAAGACGCTGAACTTTATGCTAGGCATGTGTTTGCAAGCAATGAATCTCAACTGAACTTGAACTATGGTTATGCAACAAGGTGGAGGAATCCACCCTAGGGGGAGGGGTATGGGAGGGGTGGGGGGGATCCCCAGCGCCTATAAAACTGTACTACATAATATAATGTAAGCAACAATAAAAAAAAAATACAAGGCTTTCACAGGAAGCAGCCTTTCACCCACAGGAGTGCTTGTAGGTCTGCAATTGTGCTCACAACCTATTTTCTGACTAAACGCTTCTAAATAGAAACATTCATGTAGCAAACTTACTTCCACTCCTAATTTTAAGGCATCAATGAAAAATACCAGATCCTATAAACATGAGTTCTCATGATATCAATGTATTAATCAGCTGGTTCTTGTAAGTAATACCTTTTAACTGGGTTGGAAACTGAGAGGCATTTAAAAAAAAAAAGTCCAGCTGCTAGCATCAGTACCTAAAGGACTCTCCTGGTCTAATTTTGTGCTGAACTACTCCTTTAGCCCATTTCTCAAATACATCTATTATCAGAATAAATCCTTGCAGATAAGTCAAAGAAAAACCTGCTAGATGAAAAATTTATTAAGAACATAAAACATTTAACCCAGACCGTTAAAAAAACCCCTAAACTAATGATTCTAAGAAGGAATGTAACAACAAAACATGAAAGCATCACAGATAAAAATAAGAAAACAATCTCTCCTCTCTCAATAAATGAGCTCACTAGGGATGAAAGTTTCTTCTGAGCTAGAGAAAGGAAACTGCACCTGGAAACCAATCCCTGTCCCTGCCTGCTTCCTGGGCAATGTCAGCAGCACCGTGGGCACAGACCTTCCAGCATCACTGGATGTGCTCCCCGAAACACGTGGTTCACAAAGGGAACCCCTTCTTAGAGGGGGGGTACAAAATGCCATATACAACCTCCTACTGCTTCAGCCATCATCTAGGATGAAGAATATCTCACTGTCCTCCATCATGTTGATCCAGGAAGTTCTTGAGCACTCCCTAGGCTGTAAAACCAGGACCTCACAAGACAATCCCATCTGGGAACTACAATGTATTCACCACCTCCAAGAGGCCACGATCTGTGAGGGGCAGGAACAGCCGGAAGCAGAGTGAATGGTAACTCCCCCTGGCCAGCTAGCACGCTTAAAGCCTTATATACCCCTTTCCATTTCATCCTGCAACTCTATCAAGTAGGAATGATTAGGAACCCTATTTTACAGATGAACAGAGTGAGGCCCAAAGGGGTTAAGCAGCCTGCTGAAAGGATGGTGGGTAGGAGGCTGGAACTTGAGTGTGGGTGGTAGCAGGTGGAGCCTGTTCTTGCCCAGGCTACAGTCTTCAAGTGGAGAAGTGACCACTTTGCTCAGGAGGATGACACCACAAGAGGAGCCCAGGGCCCTGAGGCAATCCTTCTCAGAATCCCACCAGCTGCCAGCAGGGTCAGCCAGAGATGGAACTGGAAGAAACAAAACCAGTCGACAACTTTATCCCTCTCACCCCAATCCCACTAAACAGGGCAGAAGGCCCTTTAAGTCAGGTTCTAGATTAACCACTTGGCCATTAGGGCAGCAAAAAGCTAGAGAGAGAGAAGATTCTGTCATTGTTCAAAGAATTTCAACTTAAAAACTCAGTCTTCCTGCTTCTGGCTCAAACACCGCTGGTGAGAATGTAAATTTTTTTAAAAAAATCTTTATATGTCATTTTTATCTATCTAAAAGACAGACTGACATGCAGAGTTAGAACTAGACTGTCCACTGGTTCTCTCATGCAGCTGGCAGGAATCCAAGCATTTGAGCCACCACGTACTGCATCCCAAGATGCATTAGCAGGAAGTGGGATGGGAAGTGGAGCAGACAGTACTCAAACCAGGACTCAAGATGTAGAGGCCGACCCCAAGCCACCATTTAATGTGGTATGCTGCAAAGCCAACCTTAGAATGTAAATTCTGATGTAACCCTTTTAAAGCATAATTTGGCAATATCTGCCAACATTTCAAGTGCACATGCTATAGATAAAACACGAAGACTTCTGTGAGTTACACTGGTCTACGTGGTCTATAACAGTGGAAAAGAGTGACCGCAAGCTGAATACCCAGCAGAGAGGGGACTGGCCACACCGCCTACAACTTCTAAGCACAGACTGGGACTGAGACGCTGGGGGAGAGGAGCTCAGCTCATGCTGACACACAGTGTCCTCCCAGGCACACTGCTGAGTAACAGAACAGCCTGCACACTGTGATCCGAGGCTGGAGAAATGTGCTCCTTAGCCACAAGCACCTACATTGCACTATTCTATATGGATACCGAGAAACCATTTACAGTGGGCCCTGTGCAGTTCAGGAAAAGACTACCTTTTCTCTTACGTCCTTTTGAAGGGCTTACATTTTTTAATCACATGGATTCATTACCATAATGCAAAGAGGAAACACCAAAGGGTTTTAATTTTTCAACTGCCTTCCAGATTGTAAAATCTAGGTTCTTTTTTTGCTAACTATATATCCTGCAATTTTTCTTACCTTGTTTCCTTCGTACACCCATCCTAGGCTCTTGACACCAAAGGCAACCTGGCTTGCAGAGACATCCAGACATGTGACAGGCTGCCCATAGACATAGTGGAGGGTTCTGGCAGAGTCTTCAGCTTTTAGCAGGTAGACCAGATCTCCAGCAGTGGCTATTGCCACAGGGTACCTCCCAGTATCTGGAACTATCTCAAAGAAGTCGACCTATTAAAGGATAAGAGTTTTTCAGATCTAAAAATTCACCCCAATTTGGTTAAAAAAAATTACAATCCCTCCTTCCCTTCAACAAGACCAACAACCCAAAGATGCTCATTGTAAGAGAAAAACAGTATACTTGTAAAGAGAGACAAAGTAAACTTGACTGAAATACCACTTTTCTGTTGCAATATAAGTAAAGATTAAAAAATCAGAATACATGGGACTAGACGTGAAAGGGGGGACCGTCATTTCTGGATGCCATCTACTATTGATGGGAATATACCCTCTATATCAAGGAAAATTTGGCATCATATTCAAAACTTTCAATGCACATATACCCTGACCTAGCAAGTCTAATTCTAGGAATTGATTACAAATAAACTCAAATGCACAAAATAATTGCACAATTATTTGCTGAAGTAATATTTTGGGTATCTAAATACTAGGAAAATTTAAAACATGTAACAAAAGGGTTAATTACATAATCACAATACATTTAACATGTCAGAAAACCATGCAGAAAGCATGACATTCTTTATCAACTGATACAAATGGGATAAACTCTATAACAATCTGGGGGGGGGGGTGGCAGTGTATGAGAAGCAAGTGGAGAACCAGAAGCCAGAGTGCTAACACACATGAAAGTCAGGGTCGGGGAGGCAGGTGTGGCAGGTGTACAATGTACTTGACTTGTACATCCTGTTGCCTTCAAGGGTCACATGGTGGGATGGATGGAGATTTCTTACTGTCCACATCACAGTTCCTTTTAATCCTGAGCTTTGGGGGCTGATGCTGTGGCACAGTGAGTGAAGTTGCTGTCTGAGGCACTGGCATCCCACATGGATGCTAATTCCAGTCACACAGTCCCAGTTGCTCCACTTCCAATCTAGCTCCCTGTTAATGCACTTGGAGAAGCAGAGAAAGATGGCCCAAGTCCTTGGGCATCAGCACCCATGTGAGAGACCTGAAAGAAGCTCCTGGTTTCTGGTCAACCCAGCTCTGGCCATCATGGCCAATTGGAGAGTAAATCAGCAAGTAAAATTTCTGTGTGTGTCTCCCCATTTCTTTCTCTTTCAAACAAATAATAAATCTCTTTTTTTAAAGCCTGAACTATGGAAATGTAACAGTAATTCAAATAAAAGGGTTGTTTTGTTTTGGGGGTTTTTTCACTTTTTAAAATTTTGGAAAAAAAAATCAGTTTCAAATCAGCAAAACTCTGTTCTTAACATTTGTGCAGATACCAAAAATGTGCTCTCCTAAGGTTAGAAATAGGACTTATCTGCTAGCTCCTGGATTCAATGATTCCAAAGAGGGTCCACTTTGTCACTCCAGCTCAGGCAGGCCTTTGCAACCCTGCATTTTTTATACCTTTACCATTCTCACTGCACTATCGCTAGCACTTTCTCTAATTTGCATGGCTATGAGGAATACCTTTCAAGAATAATCTGCCTTCTCCATCCACAGGTGGCACATTTCCCCCCAGTGCAGTTTGTTTTAGGTTTTCACCTCCTTCATTAAACAGTGAGTATGAATGCTGAAGGTGCAACTGTGTAATTATGAAAATCCACAGTGAAAAAGCGTGGCACTTCCTGAGAGCATGCCAGCTGAGTTCAAAAGCCCGAGTCCTGAAGACTGTCCAGGGGCGCCTCAGAGGCAGTAAACATCCGGGTGACTCTGCTAATCCTTGGGCCCAACAGTGAGTGCAGCGGCCCAACACTGCCAACCGTGGGTCCATCACAAAGGACAGGCAAGCTAAGCTAACACCACAAGCCTGGGAACACTGCCACTACTATTCAGAAAGTGTATCTGGGGAAGACAAAAACGGCTGTGCGGGCCAGGGGGTGTCTTTTCCAGGAACACTGGGCACCTTCTGTGACAAACCCTCAGCCAGGATGAGAACTAACACATAAAAAGTGTTATCAAACACGCCTCCAGCACTGGCCACTTGCTTCCTCTTGCTTCTAACAATCATTCCTTATTTTCCTAAAACAGACATCCTCAGCTGAGCCGTCTCACTTGGTCTTAACGCTGGAACTTTGACAGGACAAGTGGCTTGGGTTGACAGCGGCTGTGCCGTTTGCTGGGAGCTGTGAACGACTTCAAAAAGCTTCTGGTCTGTGCCAGGATGTCACCTACTGCCAAGGCAGGATTTACACTTTATAGAGGGACTTGCATCTTAAGTAACTGAGTCCATATAATTACTGTTGCTCTACAGTCACCTTTAGTCAGAGAACACATCATAAGCTCCATGGTAGTTTTATGAACACACACAAATACTCGAGGTTCACACTGTTCTAATTAACTTGAGAGGACAGCATCAGGCAGTCTGGGGACACTGCAGGCAAACCAAGAGATGGGATCCTTAGTGGGAGCAGCTTATAAAGGCGAGGCAGCAACACGATGGCTTCTTGGTCTAACGTGATTTCCACCAGGGAATATGAGAGAGAAGGAATGGTTCCAGGTCAGATCATTGATTTACTCAACGTTGACTTCTCTGTTACTCTCCTAACAAGGGCCAATATTAAGTTTGTTTAAATTAAATTTAAATTCAGCAAGGAGAGATTGGAGCATTCCCTTCTCACCACCTAATCATCTTTCATCATTTAAACATCGGAGTTCATGGAGAACTGCACCATAAAATGAGCTCCAGGAGAGGAATTCTTAAGGCTTGCTAAGCTTCACACATGATATTCTGGAACACAGCTACACAACTAGCAATGTTTATATATATATAGACAGAGATCTCCCACCAACTGGTTCAATCCCCAAATGGCCACAATGGACAGAGCTGAGCTACCCTGAAGCCAGGAGCCGAGAGCTTCCTCTAGGTCTCCCTCGTGGGTGCTGGGCCCCAGACACTGGGCCATCCTTTGCTGCTTTCCCATGTCATAGCTGGGAGCTGGATCAAACCAGGAGCAGCTCTGACTAGAACCAGCATCCATTTGGATACTGGCAGTGCAGAGAGTTAAGCTGCTAAGCCACCATACCCCTTCCTACCTTTAAGCTTCTGTATTGGGCCAGAAACTGTTACCAGATTTCTAGGGGTGCCACTCCACCACACCAGTCTGAGTGCGTCCAGGCCACCATGGTAAGAAACTGGCCTTGGGATTGGGGTTGGCATTGGCGTTTCAGTCCAAGCTGCTCCCTCTGACCTGGGGCCAGTCAGCTCAGACCTCTGAATTTCTGCTGGCTGCCTGGCAGACGAGGGAAATGCCATTGTTGGTTTTATTTGGCGGTGGTGAGATCTGTGGGGGCAAGGCCCACTTGAAGTCTGAGTGACTGGGAGTTGTCACCATGACTGCTTACTTTAGTCTCAGAGACTCTAAGGATGGAACTCCAACAATAAAATGGCCAAAAGTAAAGCTCACCAGTTTCTGAACTTCAAACTCAGCTGCCATCTGCCAGTAGCCCTCCTCATTGGGGTACAGCATTACAACGCCAAATGCAGAGGCTGTGGCGACAGTGACATCCTTTCGGCCGAGGGCTAGCGCCTGTATTCTTGCATCATGCTCGAAGCGGTGAATGGGATACCTTCCAGTCCTTAGGTCCCAAATATTGAGAAATCCTGGGTAAGGCCAAACAATTTAACAGTGTTAAAGGCATTTAACACACATAGTTAGGAAATAACAATTATGCAAAATAAAGAAAATGTCAAAATAAATGATAAACCAGCAAAAAAAATTGCATCACTTATTACAGAGGATATTTTCTTAACACATAAAGGACTCTAAAAAAGCAAAATTGTAAAATAAGCAAAGGACACATTTTCAGAAATATAATGGACACTTAAACAGAAGGAAAAATGTAAAGATCTATTCACAGTTAGAAAAACGAATAAAATATGCATATCATTTTCATCAAGTTGACAAAAATGAAAATATCACAAAACATTCTGCTGTTGAGGATCTACAGAACAGGCTTTCTCTTCAACTGCCGGAGGCACATAAAGTAACTCACCCACTCTGCAGGCAAGGTGACAATATTTGCCTAATTACAAATGTATCTACTCTTCAATTCAACCATGTTTACACATGAACACAAAGAAGTGTGTACAGGACACACTGCCATGTTTTTCTTGACTATAAAAGCCTGCAAGCTCCCAAAACGTCAACAGTAGAGAAATGCTTAGATACCACCACCTCCACAGCCTGGGTTTAGAATGAATGCATTCTTTAAAAAAGAGACCGTTGGCTCTACACACAACCTATAGAATACACTGATAGCCTAAAACACCACATTTGTGTGTGGTTCAGGTTTTAAAGATCTATTTACTTGAAAGGCAGAGTTACAGAGAGCAACAGAGACAGAGACCTCCCACAATTGTTAAGAACATTGATGTGGAGGCTGGTGTTGTGGCACAGTGGGTTAAGGTGTCACTTGTAAGGCAGGCAGTACATGTCAGACTATGGGTTTAAGTCGTAGCAGCTCTGCTTTTGGTCCAGCTTCCTGTTAATGCACCTCAAAAGGAAGCACCAGACACCCCAAATACTTATATTCTTGTCACCCACAAGGGAAACCAGATGAAGTTCCCAGTTTCTGGCTCTGGTCTGGCCCAAATCCACTATTGTGACCATCTGGGGAGTGAATCAACAGATCCATCAACAGATAGATCTGTGTCTTTCCGTTCCTGTTATTTTGGTTGTTCTAACAAACAAACTGTTGTTAAAATGCTGACTTTGCTCGTCATCCTTCTCCCAAGCACCTGGAAAGCTGCTAAGTCCTCACACCTACACTGGACATTCCACCACCACAGTGGTTTCCCAGGACCAACAGCATCAATACCAGAGGGACTTGCTAGAAATCCATGTTCTAGGGCATCAGCACATCTGGGGATGGTCGCTCATGTCTGAGACCCAACGGCCTACAGAAACGCACACTCTTAGCAGTATAAATGCCCCCATGTTTGAAATGCCAATGACTTTCATGAAATAAGTCTTTTGGTCATTCTCAGCCACTATGCTACTTCTTTCCCTCAGAGGTTTACTCAAGAAAACATGTCCTGTGTGAGTCTACACAATGCCTTATTTTGACTCCAATTGGTTTTCCAAATCACAGGGAAATAATTATGCAGATACATAGCTCATGATAATTTGTTCAAATTCAAATCCAGCTCCCCTGCTTGTTAGCCAAAGGAGTTGGGGAAATCTTAAATAGCTGTGAGTCCATTTTCTCTTCTGCAAACTCAAAGCCAATTTCACTTATTGTCCAGGATGCTAGGTGGGTGAAAAGACCAACCATGCAAAATGCTCAAGATCAGCCCTTCCTTTTTCCCTTCTAGTTTTACACACTCTGTAGTGCTTTCCATGTTATAAAGCACAAATGTTAATACAGTCTATATTTACATATACTACATAGTACAAAGCATTAATATATACTAATATAGTATAAGGCATTCGATATGTGTTAATATAGTACCCTCTCTTGTTCATCTATAAGGTCAGTCCTAGTTTACTAAGCAAAAAAAGGTGTTCATTTTTCCTCTCTTCATAATCCATCTTCCTTTTTGTCCTTATATTTCATCTTTATATTACAAATGCTTTACATTTAGAATCTTTTTGTAAGGCATCATTCTAGATTGTATACAGCTGGAGAGTTAGAAGATACATTTTCTGCAAGACATTCCAATAGCCAGCAAGCTAAGCAGGTGACTGACTGCAAACAAAGCCAAACTCGCCACACATTCAATGCTGCTTCACTGCAGAGCAGTACACTGTCCCCACAGCTATGATCAACATGAGGGAGAAGCAGATCTCAAAAGGCTCCACAACACATTCCCCTGGCAGTCAGACAAATTCTTATCACTGTCAATCAGAGGGAAAGGATAGGCTGCAGGAAATGCCGAGGGCTCTACACGGAGCAGGAGACAGGCTCTCCCGAGGACTGCACACTACATGTATCTGCATTTGTTCAGACACCACAACAAACTCAGCCTGGGAGCACTCCCTGCCAGCTAGGGAGGGGTGTCCTTGTACTCCCAGAGTGGTAAAGCAACTGACCCAGCACCTCCTGGGAGGAGATGAGGCCAAGCTGAACCTAGAGAAGTGCAGGCTGGGTGGCTGAGTCTGCCAGTACACAAGATAACTGGGCTAACGAGTCACTGATGTGCGCCACCAAACTTGCCCAGTGTCTGCCAAGCATGGAAGCTATTTAACCACAGCTCACTCTAAGCACACATGGAGTTTATCTACAAACACATTGTTCATTATTAATCAAGTATTGGCTGTGTTGGCATCGTTGTTCTAACAGAACTGTATGCAGTAAGACACCCTTCACCACAGGGTTGAGTTTCACACAGCTCTCCTGAGGGAGGTCTTGGTGGAAAAGAATCTAGGGCTCCACCAGTTTCACGTCGAATGCTTTCTTGAACAACTGCACATCACCATCCTTTCCAGTGTCCTCCACTTCAACAGTGAAGAAGACAACTGAGCTAGGACATACCTGCCTAGGGTGTTTTAATTCTGTAAGTTCCTCAACTTCACTTCTCCCATCCAAGTACCACCCACACCTGGCTTAGCTTCTGAGATCAGATGAGAGAGGGCATGCTCAGGGTGGCATGGCCATGGAGCCTTCAACCTCACTTCTAGGTGCACTGTTGGGATGGCTCCATTCAAACTGACCTTTCATCATAGGCAGTGCACTCTTCGGTGCTCTGAATTTCACTTGGTCTGATATTAACATAGTCTCTCTAGCTTTCTCCTTGGGATTAGTATTTGGATTGTTTCCATCCCTTCATTTTGCCTTGTGTCCCGGTTCATGAAGAAACAATGGAATTAAAAGACCAATTTCCTTTGAAGCAAAAATATGAAATTTATGCGTAGTTTTTCATAATATGAATCTCCATACACTTTTTGAAGCTCTTGTGAACTTAAAGTAGGTTTCTTGTAGACAGTGTAGTGTTGGTCTGGCTTTTAATATGGGTGTTCTGACAATGATATTTAGTGATACGAGTGAATTTAATCCACCATTTTTCTGTTTTCCGTTTGTCCCATCTGCTCTTTGCTCCCTTCCCCTCTCTCTTACTGCCTTTTTGTAAAGTATTTGCATTGAAAACACTATAGCTTCACTTCCATTTTTTATTTATAAAACTTATTTGCTTTTATTGGAAAGGTGGATTTACAGAGAAGAGAGACAGAAAAACATTTCATCTGCTGGTTCACTCCCCAAATGGCCACAACAACTGGAGCTGAGCCAGGAGTTTCTTCTGGGTCTCCCATGCAGGTACAGGGTCCCAAAGCATTGAGCTGTTCTCTGCTGTTCTCCCAGGCCACAAACAGGAAGCTGGATGGAAAGTGGAGCAGCCAGGATACAAACCGGCACCTGTATGGGATCCAGGCACTTGGCGGTTTAGCTAGTTGTGCTAATGTGCTGCCTCCAATGCCACTTTCATTCTTTTGCTGTCACTGGCCAGTCTTCAGGACTTCACTGTACATCTTTATCTTACTATAATCTATCTTCCAACAATATTATAGCAGCTTACGTAGAGCACAACTTCACAAGGATATCTTTCCATTTGTTTTCCCAAAGTCTTTGTGTTATTACTGCCATACATTCTATTTCCACATATCATAAACCTCAGGTACACTGCTATTATTTTTGCACAGTAGACAATTATCCTTTAGGGTTTTAAGTAAGAAAAAAGCCATTTCTGTTTACCCATATAATCCCCACCAATCTTCCAACAATGTCTGTAATTTGTAATTTCACCTCAGGTTGTTTGTGGGGTATGTGACCTCAAAGCTCACAGGCAGGCAGGTGTGTTTGAGAGTCAGTTTTACAAATGGTCAATCTATTAGTGAACACAGTTACATCATGGCTACTTTTATGATCTCAAAACTATAGGGTTCTGGACTGAATATAATATATAAGTATAAATATATATATATATATATTTCTTTTTTTAAAAAAGAACATTCTATGCTGGAATTTGAAGAGCAGCAAGTAGGAAGCTCCATGCCCAAATTTTCCAGACAGCTTTCGTGACCAGAGCCATGTCTGGAGAACTACTCTTGGGCACAAGGTCAGTGCAGAACTTCCACCTGCAATCAGACCTGCTGAAGGTGGACATCACCTCCTGGGGCCTGCCATCACGGCTTTGGAGGTCAAAGACCGGCAGAGCAGAGCCTCAGGCATGGTGCTCAGCTTTTCTGAGTTGTATGGGTGTCCCCCAGAGCAATCCTACTTTAAGCAGCTCATGGGAGGGTGGCCAAAGGGACATTCATGTTGGAAGGGAAGAAGTATCAGCTGGCCATGAGCCACAGGCTCAAGAGCCTGCATGGAGGACTCTGAGGGTTTGGTAAGGTATCTGACCCTCAGCTCTGCCAAACGGTGTCCAGTCCTCCTGTGTCAGTCCAGATGGGGAGGAACACAATACAGGCCAGCTGGACCATGATGGTCTATCTTAAATATGGTTCTCCAAATATACAGGATTATGAAGTTACCACAGAAACTGATGTTTTCAGGAGAAATTGCTCCAGTGGAAGAATTGCATTCAACCTGAGAAAGCAAGGTTAGAGCTTGGGAAAGAAACATCCGTAGCAATTCCACATCAATAGTTTTTATCACAAT